TCTGAAAATATTGTCATCAGCACGGTTCAGGTACAGTGGTCTGGAAAGACATCTAGTAGTACTCACGAATGTATACAAGCCTCCGTAAAGACGCCACAAGGATTCTTTCATTTACGGTGCAGTGACACGTGCCATGGTAAAACTCGTCATTATACGATACAAGATACATTGAGAGGGTCATTGAGGTTGTACATGTAACTGTCTACCTCGATTGCCTGATGGGCATTTGTGCCAAGTCTAGAAGAAACAACAGCGCAAGCTCAGAAGAAATCTGCGTTGGTACTTTTAAGGTATCTACATGGAAATAGGTTTTCATCTTAGTGCTGCTAATAATTAAATAGAGGGACTCAGGAATTTGAGCGTTTTTAGAAAACACTTTCACGTGAATGAATGAGTAAATGATAACAGGGATCTTGTTTATGAAGAGGAGATATCAATAGAAGGTAGTTCTCAACTGTAAGAATGTTGTAAATCTATTTGATATCTTTGAAGATAAATGTTTTCATCAGCTTATTTACCTAGTTAAAGATTTGTTGCTACGTATACGTGTGCCACTGAAATATTGTGGTTTTTGAAAAAGAATTATTATTAGCTTTTTTGTCAAATATAAACCGGACTCCTAACACTAGCCGCAAAATGAATTTAATAAAATGTATGAATGGTCTGTAGTGTCAGTTATTTATGAATATCTCCATGATGTGAATCCTCGGAGGTAACACTGGCATAACAGAGGCTTAATTGAAGAAAATTGTAAAGCGGTGGGAGTGTACTTGGTTCGCAACCTTTTAATGATGATGTACCGAATCTCTTTCAATGTTTGCAGAACGCCATACTTTGACGAAACAACGATAAGCCACTCGGAGATCAGTTGCGTGGAGAAATTTTGTTCCAGCTTTGACACATTTTCGGTCAACGAGAAACTGGAAATAAAAGAGAACTCTTCAACCTTTGTACTAGAACTCACTCGAAATATCCATCTACGAATCATTCACCGTACAGTAACACTTCACATAACTTCTTTAATTAGAAAATTTGTAAATATATGGTTTCTTTTTTTGCTCGAATAGAGTTCAGTAGCTTACTCAGAAAATCAGGAAAATAAGTCCAGAGACAAGTTTATAGTCATCTCAAAAACAAAAACTTTGCTCCCGCAAAACTCAAATGATAGCTAATCCGTGAGTAGTAAGAGTCATATAAGAATCCTAAGGTTCTCGTGCTACACAGTAACCCATCGAGTAATCTGTGCACGTACTAGGGTTTCCCCCCAAGGCGAAAGAAAAGGTAGTAAATTGGTATACCCTCTATATCATCCCTCATTTATCGACGCATATTCAGCTTTTCGCTGAAATAAAAAAAAAAGGTTAGTTGACAGGCCAAAGAGAATAATGAACTGATAACGACCTTGTGATAACAAGTTGAAGCGTCAATTAACTCTTTACAACCTGAC